GGTTATACTGTAAAGTACATGTAGTACAATACAAGGTTATACTGTACAGTACATGTAGTACAATACAAGGTTATACTGTACAGTACATGTAGTACAGTACAGGGTTATACTGTACAGTACATGTAGTACAGTACAGGGTTATACTGTACAGTACAGGGTTATACTGTACAGTACATGTAGTACAGTACAGGGTTATACTGTACAGTACATGTAGTACAATACAAGGTTATACTGTACAGTACATGTAGTACAATACAAGGTTATACTGTACAGTACATGAGTATACTGTACAGTACAGTACAGGGTTATACTGTACAGTACATGTAGGGTTATATGTAGTACAGGCAGGGTTATGCTGTACAGTACATGTAGTACAGTACAGGGTTATACTGTACAGTACATGTAGTATGTACTGTACAGTACATGTAGTACAGTACAGGGTTATACTGTACAGTACATGTAGTACAGTACAGGGTTATACTGTACAGTACATGTAGTACAGTACAGGGTTATGCTGTACAGTACATGTAGTACAGTACAGGGTTATACTGTACAGTACTTGTAGTACAGTACAGGGTTATGCTGTACAGTACATGTAGTACAGTACAGGGTTATACTGTACAGTACATGTAGTACAGTACAAGGTTATACTGTACAGTACAGGGTTATATTGTACAGTACATGTAGTACAGTACAGGGTTATACTGTACAGTACATGTAGTACAGTACAAGGTTATATTGTACAGTACATGTAGTACAGTACAGGGTTATACTGTACAGTACATGTAATACAATACAAGGTTATACTGTACAGTACATGAAGTACAGTACAGGGTTATACTGTACAGTACATGTAGTACAGTACAGGGTTATACTGTACAGTAAATGTAGTACAGTACAGAGTTATGCTGTACAGTACATGTAGTACAGTACAAGGTTATGCTGTACAGTACATGTAGTACAGTACAGGGTTATACTGTACAGTACATGTAGTACAGTACAGGGTTATACTGTACAGTACATGTAGTACAGTACAGGGTTATACTGTACAGTACATGTAGTATAGTACAGGGTTATACTGTACAGTACATGTAGTACAGTACAAGGTTATACTGTACAGTACATGTAGTACAGTACAGGGTTATACTGTACAGGACATGTAGTACAGTACAGGGTTATACTGTACAGTACATGTAGTACAGTACAAGGTTATACTGTACAGTACATGTAGTACAGTACAGGGTTATGCTGTACAGTACATGTAGTATAGTACAAGGTTATGCTGTGCAGTACATGTAGTACAGTACAGGGTTATACTGTACAGTACATGTAGTACAATACAAGGTTATGCTGTACAGTACATGTAGTACAGTACAGGGTTATGCTGTACAGTACATGTAGTACAGTACAAGGTTATACTGTACAGTACATGTAGTACAGTAGAAGGTTATACTGTACAGTACATGTAGTACAGTACAGGGATATACTGTACAGTACATGTAGTACAGTACAGGGTTATACTGTACAGTACATGTAGTACAGTACAGGGTTATACTGTACAGTACATGTAGTACAGTACAGGGTTATACTGTACAGTACATGTAGTACAGTACAGGGTTATACTGTACAGTACATGTAGTACCGTACAAGGTTATACTGTACATTACATGTAGTACAATACAAGGTTATGCTGTACAGTACATGTAGTACAGTACAAGGTTATACTGTACAGTACATGTAGTACAGTACAAGGTTATACTGTACAGTACATGTAGTACAGTATAGGGTTATACTGTACAGTACATGTAGTACAGTACAGGGTTATACTGTACAGTACATGTAGTACAGTACAAGGTTATGCTGTACAGTACATGTAGTACAGTACAAGGTTATGCTGTACAGTACATGTAGTACAGTACAAGGTTATGCTGTACAGTACATGTAGTACAGTACAAGGTTATACTGTACAGTACATGTAGTACAGTACAAGGTTAAGCTGTGCAGTACATGTAGTACAGTACTGGGTTATACTGTACAGTACATGTAGTACAATACAAGGTTATGCTGTACAGTACATGTAGTACAGTACAGGGTTATGCTGTACAGTACATGTAGTACAGTACAAGGTTATACTGTACAGTACATGTAGTACAGTACAGGGTTATACTGTACAGTACATGTAGTACAGTACAGGGTTACACTGTACAGTACATATAGTACAGTACAGGGTTATACTGTACAGTACATGTAGTACAGTACAGGGTTATACTGTACAGTACATGTAGTACAGTACAAGGTTATACTGTACAGTACATGTAGTACAGTACAAGGTTATACTGTACAGTACATGTAGTACAGTACAGGGTTATACTGTACAGTACATGTAGTACAATACAAGGTTATGCTGTACAGTACATGTAGTACAGTACAGGGTTATGCTGTACAGTACATGTAGTACAGTACAAGGTTATACTGTACAGTACATGTAGTACAGTACAAGGTTATACTGTACAGTACATGTAGTACAGTACAGGGTTATACTGTACAGTACATGTAGTACAGTACAGGGTTATACTGTACAGTACATGTAGTACAGTACAGGGTTATACTGTACAGTGCATGTAGTACAGTACAAGGTTATACTGTACAGTACATGCAGTACAATACAAGGTTATGCTGTACAGTACATGTAGTACAGTACAGGGTTATGCTGTACAGTACATGCAGTACAGTACAGGGTTATACTGTACAGTACATGTAGTACAGTACAGGGTTATACTGTACAGTACATGTAGTACAGTACAAGGTTATGCTGTACAGTACATGTAGTACAGTACAGGGTTATACTGTATAGTACATGTAGTACAGTACAGGGTTATACTGTATAGTACATGTAGTACAGTACAAGGTTATACTGTACAGTACATGTAGTACAGTACAAGGTTATACTGTACAGTACATGTAGTACAGTACAAGGTTATGCTGTACAGTACATGTAGTACAGTACAAGGTTATGCAGTGTACAGTACATGTAGTACAGTACAAGGTTATGCTGTACAGTACATGTAGTACAGTACAAGGTTATAGTACAGTACATGTAGTACAGTACAGGGTTATACTGTACAGTACATGTAGTACAGTACAAGGTTATGCTGTACAGTACATGTAGTACAGTACAAGGTTATGCTGTACAGTACATGTAGTACAGTACAGGGTTATACTGTACAGTACATATAGTACAGTACAAGGTTATACTGTACAGTACATGTAGTACAGTACAGGGTTATACTGTACAGTACATGTAGTACAGTACATGGTTATGCTGTACAGTACATGTAGTACAGTACAAGGTTATGCTGTACAGTACATGTAGTACAGTACAAGGTTATACTGTACAGTACATGTAGTACAGTACAGGGTTATACTGTACAGTACATGTAGTACAGTACAAGGTTATACTGTACACAGTACATGTAGTACAGTACAAGGTTATACTGTACAGTACATGTAGTACAGTACAAGGTTATACTGTACAGTACATGTAGTACAGTACAAGGTTATGCTGTACAGTACATGTAGTACAGTACAAGGTTATGCTGTACAGTACATGTAGTACAGTACAGGGTTATACTGTATAGTACATGTAGTACAGTACAAGGTTATGCTGTACAGTACATGTAGTACAGTACAAGGTTATACTGTACAGTACATGTAGTACAGTACAGGGTTATATTGTACAGTACATGTAGTACAGTACAAGGTTATGCTGTACAGTACATGTAGTACAGTACAAGGTTATACTGTACAGTACATGTAGTACAGTACAGGGTTATACTGTACAGTACATGTAGTACAGTACAAGGTTATACTGTACAGTACATGTAGTACAGTACAGGGTTATACTGTACAGTACATGTAGTACAGTACAAGGTTATGCTGTACAGTACATGTAGTACAGTACAGGGGTATACTGTACAGTACATATAGTACAGTACAAGGTTATACTGTACAGTACATGTAGTACAGTACAGGGTTATACTGTACAGTACATGTAGTACAGTACAGGGTTATGCTGTACAGTACATGTAGTACAGTACAAGGTTATGCTGTACAGCACATGTAGTACAGTACAAGGTTATACTGTACAGTACATGTAGTACAGTACAAGGTTATGCTGTACAGTACATGTAGTACAGTACAAGGTTATACTGTACAGTACATGTAGTACAGTACAGGGTTATACTGTACAGTACATGTAGTACAGTACAAGGTTATGCTGTATAGTACATGTAGTACAGTACAAGGTTATACTGTACAGTACATGTAGTACAGTACAGGGTTATACTGTACAGTACATGTAGTACAGTACAGGGTTATACTGTACAGTACATGTAGTACAGTACAGGGTTATACTGTACAGTACATGTAGTACAATACAAGGTTATGCTGTACAGTACATGTAGTACAGTACAGGGTTATACTGTACAGTACAGTATAGTACAGAGGGTCCCCAGGTTATGAACGGGTTCTTATCCTGAGGACTTTCTTAAGTCGGAAATGTACATATGTCAGTACACATGCTATGTACATACTGCACACTACATACAGAACCATTTATGATCCCACTACTATATATCATAGCCTAAGTCCTTATATTCACCTGAAATCACTTAATTTAAGAGAAAAGAATAAATAAAATGACAGAATTTGGTAAAAAATAAGTCATCAGGTAAATAAAATACTGTACTGTTAATTTAAAGTTTAACCCGGTTCATATCGGAGGGCGTTTGTCAGTGAGCCTTTGGTAAGTTGGGGATACTGCTGTAGGTCTGTTGTTTTATCATATGTGTGGCTGGTGTACACTGTGTATGTTATATCTTCATAAATATTATGTTAATCCAAATGTTTGTTTTCCCCATTACTGCAGTAGTGCTTCACTACTGGGATGATAATGATTATCCTATAAGTTCTTAAACTAACCACAACTTGTGTACACACAGAGCCGTACACGAGGACGACCCATTCACACGTATGAAAGACGTCGCCAAATGGTACCTGTCAGGATTTTACAAAAAGCCAAAGGGACTCAAGAAGCCGTACAATCCTATCCTCGGGGAAACTTTCCGCTGCTACTGGAGACATCCCAACGGGTCACGGACCTTCTATGTTGCTGAGCAGGTACAGTACAGTACAGTACAGTACAGTGTGTGTCTTAGATGATGAAACTGTAGTAGTAGTTGTAGTACAGTACAGTACTAGTGAATAAGTATACATTACAGTATGGAGCTGAATACTGTGCATTAAAATACATGACTTAGCATTATAAAGTAGGATTTAGTTAGAAGGTAACCGTTAAAATGATGGCTTCTGAATGTGTATTAAAATCCAAATGATATTTTAAATAGTTATTGTAAACTTGAGTCTTACTGCCAGTAAAAATGTGTTTAAACTCTTTTAGTGTTGAGCACAGTTTAAGATTCTGTGTCCATAAAATGTCAAATTCAAAACTCACAAACAGTATCAACTCGGACATAAAATAAGGGATAGTCCTCTTTGATTTAAGTCAGGAAGCACCACAGAACACATGAAATTATAACTACACAATTGACTTCCTGGCTGTGGTGCCTTTTGTTATGACTTGAAGTTGAAAACACTTATAATTTATTTGTTTATTAATTTTTGGTGATGTTTTGGCTTTTTTGATGCCATAATATTATTTGGTCAGTGTTGCACATAAGAGCTATACAAGTATTACATTATTTATTTCAGGTATCACATCACCCTCCAGTTTCTGCACTGTATGTAACCAACAGACAGGAAGGGTTCTCTATCACCGCTACTGTGTTGGCAAAGTCTAAATTCTATGGTAAGTTTGTTAGTTATAAAGTTACATATAGCAGTGTGCATTGACAGGGAATGGTAATAAGGGAGTACATGGCTTGGGGGACATTGATGGCAGAGTACTTACCTCACATGACTGTAGTTGATGAGTGGAATCCCTGAGACAGATGTTTATACAGTGTGACACTACTAAACGTGGCAGGTTTTCTCCAGGTAGTCTACTGTAACTTCCTCCTGTACCAACACTGGACACTGAAGGTTGCAACAAAGAACATCAACCACCCACACACCTATTAAACTGATAACTGGTGAAATGATAAATTAAGAAAAAAACAATCTATAATATATGCTTTGAGACATGACCACTGGAGAAGGCACTAGATTCTCTGTAGGTAGAAGACTGGATTATTTAGTGAGGGCTGGAAACATTCTAACAGCAGGAGTGAATGAAGTGTAGTTTGAGCCTGATGTAAACACACACACAGACACACACACATTTCTGGGTTCATGTGGGTGATGAAGCTGTCATTATACCTAAATGTTTCACTTTATCTCTAGGCAACTCCACGTCTGCTATACTGGACGGCAACGTTCTACTAACGTTGTTACCTCGTGGGGAAGACTACGTGATGAACATGCCATATGCCCACTGTAAGGGCATCCTCATGGGTACACTGACCATGGAACTCGGTGGAAAAGTCTGCATAGAGTGTGAGAAGACTGGCTATAGAACAGAATTGGAGTTTAAACTACGGGTGAGATGACAATACTGTACCTTTGGTGGTAACTTATTTCTTACAGAACTTTGGTTGTTCAGTTTCATTCTTGTGAAGTTGTACAAATTATACAAAACATCAAGAAATTTTGTCCTTGTTTTACCTGTGATGACAGAATTGTTACTTTAGACAAACATGTTATATGTTAGGTTGTTTCTGTCTGCCTTAACACAATGTTGTTCATATTTTATTACAGCATTTAATGATAAATATTACTTATTATAATAGAACAAAATAAATTTATCTAAAGATCAACAAATGTGTGCCCCAGGTGAGGTACACAACCACCTACACTACACACAGGTGAGGTACACAACCACCTACACTACACACAGGTGAGGTACACAACCACCTACACTACACACAGGTGAGGTACACAACCACCTATACTACACACAGGTGAGGTACACAACCACCTACACTACACACAGGTGAGGTACACAACCACCTACACTACACACAGGTGAGGTACACAACCACCTATACTACACACAGGTGAGGTACACAACCACCACTACACACAGGTGGTGCACAACCACTGCCACACACAGGTGGGGTGCCTGACCACACTGGGTGTTTTGTCACCACACACACCAGGTGTCACACAGCCACCACACACACAGGTTGAGTTGCGCCACCTGCCTGGGTGAGAATTGCACAACCACCTACACTACACACAGGTGGTGCACAGCCACCAGGTGAGGTACACAACCATCTACACTACACACACACAGGTGAGGTGCATAACCATCCTACACTACAGGTGGTACTGACCACCCTACACTACACACAGGTGAGGTACAACCACACTACACGGGTGAGGTACCTGACATCTACCACTACACACGGTGGTGCCTATTACCTACACTACACACAGGTGGTACACAACCACCTACACACACACACAGGTGAGGTACACAACCACCTACAC